TTCCCAAAATTACTTCAACGGAAGGTTTCCAGATGGATATGCGGAGCAAATCCATCTGGCGGAGTCAGGCTAAATGTGGACAGTCATAGCATTAAATTAATATTAGCATAACATCAAAATCCAATATTTTCCATAATGGAGATATGCTTTGCTTAATGTTATGCCTCAAAATAAAAATAGAAAATTGATTGATGTTGTTAGAACAGCAGTATTATATAATCTAAGGAGAAGTAAGAATAATGGTGGCTTTTTGGTTTATTCAAATAAAGTGAAATTAATTATTCTTCAGTTTTGGTTTGATGTTTGAAAGCTGCAGCGACTGAGAAATGCCCCACCCATAGCTGCACACTGCTGGTCAGCAGGCAGCCAGAAGGCTACTCGCTAGACTGTTTAGAAACAATTCCACTGACAGAAAGCACCAAAGGTCATTGGATGGGAATTAAAAGAGCCCAACACAGTGAAAGCAATGAACTACATGAGCTTCTGTTCTATATGTTTGCTGTTTTCTTTACATCAAATTCATACCCAATAATAGCATGCATTTAATTGTATGTTTTGTATGCGCTGTTATTTGCCATAAAATGTGTAGATTAGAGTCGAATTAAGAAGCTGGTTTAATGTGCTTGGTATGGATCAAGGTCGTTCCTTTTTCTTTAAACTGAGTATTTTGACATGTTTCTTGATGCTGGTTAATCACTTAAAGGAAGTTATTTAACGTCTGTGCAGTTGAATAACAGAATGTCCAGTTATCCCAGTGATATGGGGGAAAAAAATCATAAATTCATTTTTTTTTTTTTAACTATTTGTCAGTTTTGTTTTTGTGACAGACAACTATGGGCCATATTTGTTCCCATGTAAGTGATTTGGACCGCACATATCTGTAACGTTACGCTTATTTATTCCTTTTTCTTCCTCTCCCAACAACCACCTCCATTTGTGTCCTCCTTGTTAAATTGTATAGGCCGTGTCTGAGCCGTCAGACTCTGGTGGGGGGTTGGGTCGGTAGGAGGGAGAAAAGAAAGAAGGAAAAACAAGGATAATGGTTTTATTTAGGAATCATTAAAATGTTCTTTTCTTTGTTTGTTCTCATAAATCTGCTACATAGAGGCTCAATCCGGGGACCAGGCAAAGGCCTATTACACCCATTACAGCCATTAAACACCAGGCGAGCCCATTACCGGCTAACTTCATGATAAATTATCCTTGAGCGAGACACTTAGGTCTTTTTGCTCACTTAGTCTGATGCTTTGACATCTAATGCTAAAATTAGACAGATTGGCCTAATGAAAGCATTGTGTTTATTAAAAAACAAAACAACAACATTAGGATGAGAGGAAGCTAAAATAAAAGAAGATAATTGATGCTGACAGCAAAGACCAGGTGTTTTAAACTTAATTTCATGCTTGTTCTTCATCCACTTAGATGCAGCTACAGCTCACACATAAAAAAAAAGTAGTAAGATAAAGAGAGACACGACTGCATCACTTCTGTTTAGCCCATGTTCTAAAAAAACAGCATAATTGTCAGTGTTCATTTAACTATGAAGAAGGAAAAAAGATCCCCACCTGGAAATCGCTCTGGGTGAACAGATCTTTATCTCTGTCTGCCAACTTCTTTAACAGCTTGAGGATTTGTTCAGTGAATAATTATTATTAAAGACGCTTCTGTAAATTGTCAAAGTTGGTTTGGCATTAATTGTTACAGAACAGACTAAAATCAGGCAGTAAAACTATAACTGTGTCACTTTTCTTTGAAGAATAAACTTTTAAGAAAAACTTATTTTTTCATATTGTACCTGACAATTTAAAATATTCTAATCCAAACCAAAAAGGCTTTCTAAATCATTACCTTTTAATTTTGCACACCTTCATGCATTATTACCCCTTACTTACTATCATTTAAGGTTGCCTCAAGCTGTTTTCTCTATTTCCTGCTCAACACTGACCATAGCTACCTGCTTGATATTAGGGTTGTCACGATACTAAACTTTTCAACTTGATACCGATACTAAGTAAAATATTCGATACTCGATGTCATTTTTGATACCACAAGGATAAAAACAAAGACTCTAAAATTTAACAGAAGTTTTTCATTAATAAACAAAATTCAATAAATAGATAAATAAATACAATAAACAATATTTTGAAGTTGTATGCTGTGTACAATATTAAGCAAGCTTGATAAAAAAACGTACAAAATTAAAATTAAGTGTTCCTTCCTTGGCTATGCTTTACACACATAGCAATGACGTTAGCCAAGCCAGTTAAAAAACAAAAATAATTCTCAGCAGCTGCACCTGTTACAGAAAAAAGTCTGAAACCGAAAAGTGGACAGAATTATTCAATCACACAGTGTCCAGAAAGTGCATTTTCCTCTAATCTCCGCATAAGATGAATGACTGTTTAGGTGCCACCGGTGGTAGCACAGCATTATCGATACTTTTGAAAATGAGTATTGTATCCGGATACAACTTTTCAGTATCGATACTTTTTTAAATATCGATACTTTTGACAACCCTACTTGATATTATAGAAAGACTAATAGTATTGTTTCTCTTTTTACCATTACCCAAGTATTTATGTATTTTCTTTTATGCAGACCTGTAAGTTTAGAAATGACAATGCTTTGTCAACATCTCTTAATTTGTTTGCAAATACTACAGATCCATCCATCCATCCATCCATCCATCCATCCANCATCCATCCATCCATCCATCCATCCATCCATCCATCCATCCATCCATCCATCCATCCATCCATCCATCCATCCATCCATCCATCCATCCCAGTTCAGTTGGTCACTTCCAGCATTCATGCTTCCTGTTGTCCCTCTTCAAAGATCACAGCCCCTGAATTGGACCCCACCGATGTACTTATGTGACTAGTGATCAGTATTTGTGTAAAAGAGTTTTTTTAGTTTAAGTTAGAGCTTTTTAAAAGTCTACAGCATTTTATAGATTTAAAGTCATTTAAATAATACTGAGGAAAGTATTGGAATAACTAATATTATTTTTCCACCTGATTGAAGGTTCAAATAATTGCTCCTGTTTTTCTTTGTGCTTTCCGCTCATTTCCTCGGAGATAATTTTCTGAATGTGATCTAATAGCACTGATTATTATAAAAATGGCTGAAAATGTCACATCGTTGCCAACTCTGGCTCTGCTGCGGACAAGCGTCTCATGACCTCATGACCCGCGAGCTCTCAGACAACGACTCTTCTGTTAGGACTGCTCCGCTTTTCCCAGGTCCCCTTTCTATGTCTCTCTCTCTCTCTCTCTCTCTGTCTGTCTTTCGTGCCGTCTTTGTTCTGCTCTGACTCCTTTCTAAATTTCTCGCTTTCCATCTGGTCGTTCTTTATCTAACATCAGCGCTGTCTGTCCCCTGCGCTGCTCTGTTTTCTTGTGGGCTCCCTGTGTAATTTGCGGGCACTTCTTTCCTTTTCCCTGACTGCCATTCTTCCGTTCTCCTTTTTAGCACTCCACAGCACCACATGATGTAAATGTTTGATGGCTGGCCGAGGGGTACATCGGCCTCTTTTCCAACTCACACAAAAAGTGCATTAAGGAGCGAGAGTAAGACAGG